AAGAAACAAAATACTTAACAACAAACAAACAAAAAAAGTATTTAAGATAAAATGTCTAGCTAAAAACATTTTAAATGAAAAGCAATTTTTTATGCATAAGATGACCGCTATTGTAGCCTAGTATAGGGGAGAGTGGGGTACCATGAAACATTGTAAATGTGGGGGTATTTCTTAGATTTGTGACAACTAATTTCATATGGATGGTGTTAAGGTCAAGTGGACTAACCCTTTAATTTTCGGTTTTTATTATTATTGTGTTTCTGCATTGATAAGACTATGTTTTATTTATAACCAGGGTTGCAAAAAAAAACATTTTTTTTGAAAAAAACCCAAAAACCATGGTTTTTTTAAAAAAAAAAAAAAAAAAAAAACATTTTATTTTAAATGTTAATAGTAAATTATATTTTCTATTAGCATTTCTGCTGTAATTCATCAACCAATGGATTATTTTTTAATATTTTATATATAAAAACAAGCTTTGCTGCTTTTTTTACTCCTATCTTGTTTTTTAACTTGGAATGAACTAGCCCAAAAGTTAAAATAATTCTTTCATGTCCAGTACTAGAAGCTGGTGCATTTAACAAACCTTCAATATTCATAATGTTGCAGTCCAAAGGTTATAGAGATATCCACAATTCTATTGGTGATACATTTTTTTTAAACAGATACACTATACAAATAGCTTTTATCAAATTTGCTCCAGATTGATGATTATTTTGCATATATTTTACTATCTGTGCAACATGCTTGCTCACATTTTCAATGTTAAGATCATTTTCTAAAAGATTTAGCATATGAACAGCACACCCATAAGTAATTATTCAGACACCTTTAGATGACGATACTCGCATTAATTTCATATTATTATTACTTTATCTTTTTAATTTAAGCTTCATTGCTTTTATTATAAAGATTACTCTATTGCTTCTCTTGCCAATTGTGTAAGATATAAAATAATGGTTACAATAACTTCATAAAAGTTTTATTCGATTTTAATTATTATTGAAATTCTGTCTTGAATGTTTAAAAAAATCCATAGTAAATGTAACTTATTTAATGTACGCAACTTTTGTTATACAAATATATATATATATATATATATATATATATATATATATATATATATATATATATATATATATATATATATATATGTATGTATGTATATATATATATATATACATATATATATATATATATATATATATATATATATATATATATATATATATATATATATATATATATATATATATATATATATATATATATATTATATATATATATATATATATATATATATATATATATATATATATATATATATATATATATATATATATATATATATATATATTTAATTGTTACGTTTACTGTAATCTTTTTTTATTTAAAAGGCATCTTAAAGCACTGTAAAAATTATTAACCTTTAGTATAAGTTAAATAAATAGAATAGCTAATATTTGAATCAAAATTTCATTATATTACATATAGATATATATAATATATTATTATATATATAGACAATAATTATATGAACAAATAGATAAAATATATTATATATATAGATATATTTTATATTATATTATATATGGATATATTATTATATATAGACAATAATTATTCAAATACAAGACATAAGCGTTAAATAAGAGTAATTACTATGATTTTAACTTTGCAAATTAAAGTTTATTATTATACACTAATTGTAAATATTGATTAAAATTTGTTTCTATTTTAAACATTTAATTACTCCTAAAATTAAAATTACTAAAATATAGTTACTAAATTTTTAAAATACTTTAAACAATTTTCAATAAATATTTACAAATAAGAAAGTACTTGCAACTTGAGTATTTATTAAAATCTCAAATAAAATAGTTTAGCATAACTAAAGTAGCTGAAAATCATTGCCACGACACCCGTTTTAACTAGGAGGTGAGGGGGGGGGGGGCTACTGAAAGAACAAACTCTCTCACACTCCTCCTTTCCGCCCAACTGTCAAAAAAAAAAAAGGTATCCCTAAATCAACTTTAAGCTTGCCACAATATATATAAAAAACACTCCTAGCATGTTCTTCCTATCTACTCAATCAATCTGTATATATAATAAATTCTATATATATATACCTGTTGTTTTGTGTTGCTGTATTTAAAAAACAAATACCAAGGCAATACCAAATAAATAACATACTGTAAATTTAATATATATTAGAAATTATTTTTCAAAAGTATCTTTATGATTTTAAAAGTGCATTCGCATTTACATAAAAAGATTTACCAGGTATACCGGTATGAAATGAGCGTTTTTTGTGAAAATAAAACACTAATTATTAATGGGAAAGTATAAAACATTTTATTCAAAGTATTGGCCATTGTTTTCTACACATTTTGACCACCTTTCTGGCAATTTGTGGATACCACGCCAATAAAATTGTTCGTTTTTTAAAGCAAACCAACCAGACACCCAATTTTCGACCTCCTCGTAGGAATCAAAGTGCTGCTCAGCCAATGCGTGTCCCATCGATAAAAACAAATGGTAGTCGGAAGGAGCCAAGTCTGGTGAATACGGCAGGTGGGGTAGCAGCTCCCAGCCAAGTGTTTTGATTGTATCCTGAACCGGTTTTGCTTTGTGTGCAGGTGCATTGTCATGGAGCAAAATTACCTTGCCGTGTCTTCTGGCCCATTCTGGTCGTTTCTCGATCAATGCATGGTTCAAATTGATCATTTGTTGTCGGTAGCGATCAGTATTGACGGTTTCACCATGTTTTAGGAGCTTTCTGGTCACACCTTTCTGGTCCCACCAAACACACAGCATTGTCTTCTTGCCGAATCGATCTGGTTTTGCAGTAGATGTTGATGGTTGTCCCGGATTAACCCATGATTTTTTCCGTTTAGGATTCTTAAAATAAATCCACTTTTCATTGCCAGTAACAATCCGATGCAAAACCAATTTCTTTCGTGTCTTCGAAGCAAAATTTCACAAGTGTTTTTTTGGTTTTCCATCTGTCTTTCATTCAATTCATGTGGCACCCATTTTCCACACTTTTGGATCTTTCCCATAGCTTCTAAACGGTCAGAAATTGTTTGTTGTGCAACATTTAACATTTCTGCCATTTGCTTTTGACTCAAAGTGTCATCTCCATCCAATATCGTTTGCAATTCGGCGTCTTCAAACTTTTTTGGTGGTCTTCCACGTTCTTCATTTCTCACATCAAAATCATTATTTCTGAACCGTTGAAACCATCTTTTGCATGTTGCTTTTGATAGAGCATGATCACCATATGCCTCGACAAGCATTCAATGCGACTCTGCAGCACTTTTCTTCAAATGAAAACAAAAAATTAATGCTTTCCGCAAATCATCACTTTCCGGTACAAAATTCAACATTTTTAACACAATGAAAAAATATGATGTTGTCTGTTCAATGACTTGATGTATACTAAATATGTTTCACAGATGTCATAGTAAACAAACAAAAAAAAATAAAGGCTCGTTCACAACAAATGTTCCCTATCGAGACATTTGTATCTTGACGCTCACTTCATACCAGTATACCTGGTAAATGAAAGATATAATTCTATTTGTAAACACAACCCTGGTTTACTTTCCTGCTGAATATTTAAAGTTGTTTTTTAAAAAAAAAGTTTGGTTCAAATTGATATTTTTTACGATTGGCTTAAACCGTTTGGTTTAAACCTATCAACCCTGTTTATAACCAAGTGGACTTAACCCATCAACAACATAGATTCTTTATTGTTGATGGGTTGTCCCCTTTTTTATAAATAAAACATACTCTTATTAATGCAGAAACACAACAATAATAAAAACCAAAAATTGAAGGGTTAGTTCACTTGACTTTAACACGATCCATATGGCAAAACAATTACTACTAGAGCTATGTTTTAAAATGTATATATGATTTGACATTATTAGGCCCGAGAGCGGTCAAAATTTAGGTTTTTTTAATGAGATGGTAATTTATTAGTTTTATAAGTTTCAAGATATCTTATTAAACGTGTCTATCAGTATGTAATATTATGTTGTAAATTAAAAATCATGGAATCTTTAATTCATTAAACAAAAATATTGAAAAAACAAGTTAATACTAAAAATAAAGCAATTTTTTTCTATTAGCAAGTAGGGGATAACTTGATACAGCATTTGTGGGGGCCCTAAAACTGTAGAACAGTACTCTATTGTCTTATAAACAATTCTAAAAATTGTTCCTTTTAACATTTATAGTCAATTTATATGAGATTTTTGTAAATGAAATACAAGATCCAACTTTGATACCAAGCCATTATTTATTAACGCTTAAGAATGACATTTAAAAAAACATTTTATTAAAAACTAAAAGTATATCATGGTGACCTACTCTCCCTTTTAGATTTAGAAAAGTTAGAACTAATTTTTAACAGTATTAATTAATTAGTGCACCAATGCATAGAAATTGGTGAATGACTCATTTTATGCTCTCCCCTATAATTGGATCAAGAAATAAACTCTAAAATGCATAATGTGTTAATTTTATTTTTTCTTTAACCTTTTCTCTTTTTACCTATAACCTTTTGATGAAATGCTATAAATGCTAGGTTTATATATAACTAAATTTTTATAAAAATTTTAAATAAATTTGAGAAATATATTAATTAGACACACTAAATTAAGAATCATTTTTTATATAAAATTATATTAACCATTTCAATACCTAATTTTTTTATTTTTTCTTATCATGTTAAGGTGTATGTTTAATTGTACAATGTTTGTCTTGTTGCCTTTTAGACAAAAAGTTTAGGTACAAACAACTGATAACTATTTTTTTAACCAACTGAAATTTAACGTTAGAAAGTTTAAAAATAATATGTCACACAGAGTTTTACGAAAGCTGTCTACGAAAACTTAGCTTTATTTTTTGTTGCTTTTATTTCTTTGGGTTGTTTTTTTAACCACTTCGACATTTTTACAAGCTTGATCAAATAACTATAAAAAAACTTTTACCTTCGTGACCAGTGAGAGATGCAGCTCCAAGACTAGCCATAAAAATTACTGCGCGCCTAACTTCTTCTTAAGCCTAACCGATAATAAACAATCTTTCAAAAATTTATACCCCAGTTATAAAAAATATCTCTCTAGAGTAAAAAAAAGCAATTTGATGTTATTATTTTTATTTTAAAAGCTAAACTAAAGACCAATTCTATATTCAAATTAAAATATGGTAATTGTTTTGGAATAGTGGCTCATTTAGAATTTTTTATAAGTTTTTTTTTTACTGTTATTTTTTGTGTTCACCAAAGCCATAAATCAGCTTCGCGGCGATCAAAGAAGCCAATTTTCTATTGGTTGCACCGTAAATAGTTCGTGTCACACATGCGTAATGAAGCACATTTGTGAAATTTTTACTCGGGGAAATCCCATCACAACATAGGCGGGAAACGCAGTCGGTTCAACGCTATTTCTATTTAACAGTGATTCAATAATTAATTGCTATTTTTATAGATAGCATGCTGAGTCGTGTTTCGATACATCCTCTTTCTCTCTAGTATATAAATCTTAAATTTTAGCCTATTAGAAAATTGTAGCTCCATTTCACGCTTATAGTTTAGGTTTCAATACAACTTAAATTGATAGAAACTAAATTATTACTAAATATGTTTCGGACCAAATTTCATTGCAGAAATCTAGATTAATAATTTAAAACTCAAGAACTTTTTATCTTAAACAAAAGTAAAAGAATTAGACTGATATAAAAAGAAGAGTATATAAAATTTATATAAATAAATGAGTTTTAACAGTTTTTTATTTGATACAAATCTAAAAAACCGTGTCAATGATCTTTAATCCCTCCACTTCTATGATACTAGGGTAAAGCTGAGAGAAATGAATAGGTGGAAAAATGTTGCATTAAACAAGATCTGCTTGTTTCAAAAAACACTGTTACATATATTTTTTTTATAATCTATTCAGAAATGTAATAATAGATATATTATATTATATAATATCTCTATTTTATATACAACATTTTTTCCAAATTGTAATGTTGTGAGTTCCATAGCGCTATTACTGTTAGTCTTTACTGTTTCTGTTGTTGTTTGCTTGTTTACTATAACTCCTATAGATACAGTAATAATTATGGTTCGTCACTTCAATGCCTAAATACGAAGGTTACATTTTTTTTTTATTCACCTAAATTGTTCAACGAATTTAAAGTTATTGTTTTACTAATTTTTTTAGTTCTATTGTTTTTTATAAAACGTTGAGCACTACATAAAGTGATCAATGTAGTGATCTAATTTAAACTAACTAATTAAAAATTTATTTTTTAAGGAAAATGCTAATTATAATGATAAAATAAGTGGTTAACTTGTTGCTTTGATATATAATATAAGCAACATTTATAAGAAAAAAAATAACTTTATAATGTATATTGTCTGCATTTATTATTAAAAAACATTTAAATTCAAAAAAAAAAAAAAAAAAAACATGTAAGAATATAAAATATAAAAAATTTACATTGTAAAATATGTTTTAGTATATTGCCCAGGCTTCTTGAACTTTTAGAACATTCTTTACTTTACGCAGAATTGAGGCGACGAGAGACTTAGTCCTTTTATTGATTCCCTAGATATAGGGCAAGTATATTATTTGTATTTTCTAGGAGTCAAGTCTTGACAATTAATTGCAAGTAGTCTTGTCGAGTATGAAAATATAAAATATTTTCTAAACACTTTGTGGTCATGCTGCCTTACACTTTGTTAACCAGCATGACTTTTAGCAGTGGTTGCACTCCAAATTATAATTATTAGACATTGTTAGACAGAATATGTAACGTATCGAAGATTGAAGCGTTACTTTGGTGCCAGACTCACATTGAGTTTGTGGGCTGCAATCTGCCTGAGTCGTGCTTTGTCTGAAAAAGTAATATTTTGCCACATTTTAACACTTTAAACTTTGTGTTTTATGCGAAATTTGAGACTGTTCCAAATATTTTTTTGAGAAAGACTTCGCTTTAACGCAGCATGCAACAACTAAAGATTGAAGATCTTGGCAAGTCATCTTCGAACTGTACGGACACTAATATTCATAATAGGAGGCAGTTAAGTAAGAACTTGTAAACTTGAAAGATGTATGATAATTCTTCATCTTCAAAATTTTTTTTCTGAGTTGCTATCTATTTAATTGATGCGCTGAATATTCCTGATATTGGAACAGTTAGATTATGCATCTTCTAATCTGCAGAAATCATTCCTTTAAAGTTGCCGTCTTCATTTAAAAGTAACACTTTTACACGATTAGCAAGTAATGTTGTAGCCGTATTCTAAGACTCTAAGAAATATGTAATATGCTTTATATACATTAAAGATTCATCGTACAACGATGAAACTTTAATGTATATAAAGCATATTACATATTTTATTGGTACTACGCTAACACCCATGCAGCGCTAACTACGCTAACACCAAAACAGCGCGCGATTGTTTAGTGTGTTTAGATTGTTTTCCGCGCACATATTTTGTAATTATAATTATATTAACTGTATTATAAGTATTAAAATTCATTTATAATTTTTAAAAACTGTGAGTAGTATATATATATATATATATATATATATATATATATATATATATATATATATAAATTATTATTATTATTATTATTATTATTATTATTATTATTATTATTGTTAATATTAACACTTAACAGTTACTTTTTAGAGCTTTTTTTCTGGATTGTTTATACACATTGACTTTAAACAGCTGTCCTTAATATTTGTTACTTGCTAAAAAAAGTTACAGCTTCATAATAAACATACAAATTTATCAAACATTTATAAGCATTTCTAAAGAACTTGAATTTTTGTATATTAGCATTAGGTAATTAATGTAAATTTAAAAAAAAATTTCAGTAAAAATGTAACTTGAAAAATAGTTTTATTGACAAAATAAAATTGCATTTTATACACTTAGCTGTTACTTTCTATTGTATCAAAAACTATTTAAACTTTACATAATATATAAAAAATGCTTTACTAAATAATATCTTGAAAGATTTAAGTGGTTTTCATAGTTTTAGCAGTGCTTCATTGTTTTAGCAGCGCTTCACAGCTTTAGCAGCACTTTACAGTTACAAAACTCCCTTGATATTTCTAATCAATTTCTTTAATTTTGACAAGAAAGGATGATGCGCACCATGCTTTAAAGCCACACTCGATTTATGAGTTGGCGTAAACACGGGCTGTTTAAGACTATGGTATTTAAAATATTTAAGTGGTATAAGTATTATAGCCACATGTGGGCAATATGTGGCTACCACCTAAGTGACATAAATACTATAGCCACACATGGCCCTCGTTTACGTTATCCCTTAAATCAAATTTAGCTATCATTTAATGACACATACAACCCACATCAGATTTTGTTTGTTGGGTTCCGTTAATTGTTTATAATTCTAGTTTAGAAAACCTTTCACAAAGATTATTTTTGTTTAGCTTGCATAAAATGCAAAAATAAGTTAAAATTAAACAATAATTTTTTTATTCATGAGAAGAATTATTTATAGTTAATACTTGAATACGAAGCTTACAACGTAGGGTAGACCGAGGTTAGTTGGCAGCATAGGTAAGTTGACAAAATGCATTTATTTTGTGTGCCTTTCATCAGAAAATTACAAGAAGTCAGAAATAATAAGAAACGTTTCTAAAAGGCTCTTTCATCTTTTTTTGTAGTGTTGTTAGGGTTCGGAAATGCGCATAAAAGATATTGGGATTTATGCATATTTTGGACAAAAACGTAACTTTAGGAGCATCTCTTCCTTTTTACTTTAAAAAAAAAAGTGTGAAAAACATTACGGTGTAAAAAACATTGCGGTGTATAAAGCATAGTATATTATAGGAAAAAAAAGCTTTTAACTCAGAAAAAATAATATGTAAAAACATGAAGTTGTGAACATTAAATATTTTTTGTGAAGTGCTTCAAGGATCAATCCTGGGCCCGCTCTCAGATTTCAGCACTTCGCTGATTTTTCCCGAGACGTCGTGCTTATAGGGACCTCGCACTTTCATATTTTTAATAATTATTAGGCATTAAGGCAAGTAATATAATTAACTAATTACCATCGAAGTTTACTCAATTACCATCAAATTTACTCAATTACTATCGAAATTTATTCGGCTACCATCAAAAATAACTCGATTACCATCAAAATTTACTCGATTACCATTGAAAAACCGGATAAAGTTATGTTTGAGTCAAAGTTAGGTAATAAATTTAGGTCTAGCCCCAGTGGGCACAAGACGTGTTTTAAACGACTAAAACATATTAAAACGTATTAACACATATTTTAGACGTTTAAAACACGTCTTATGCTTAATGGGGTAATAATATCATAACACTATTGACGTAAACATGGAGTAAATTTAATTTTCAAAATGGTTCAAGTCTAATAAACTATCAATTAACACAAAAAAATTATTAAAAACCCCAAATTACTTTTTTTCCTAATGGTATGCCTCTAATATATATTAAAGATATTTAAATAAAACAACCAAACGTTATTATTTTCTGTATGTGTTCTCTTTTATGAAAATCTAGCGTGTTCTCTTTTATGAAAATCTCAAAAAATCATATTGAAACTTTGCGCAACGAAGTTTCAAAAATATATTGGAATATTATACGAAGCAAGAAGTTTTGTAAATAGACATTACTCACTTATCCAATACCATGTTAATTATTCAAATATCGCCTGGGGTTGTGCTAAAAAAAGACACTTTGGAAAATTTCTTATATTGTGTTGTGGAGTTTTTCTTTGTAACCAAACAGTTTTAAAAACTTTGATTTTTTCTATTTTCAAAAATAAACTGAAAAAGTTATTTTTGATCCTCTTTTATAAATGTTTCCATTATGTAATTTAGCATTTGGTTGTAAGCATTAAAGCATTGTAAACAATAAAGCATTTGGTTGTAATTTTATTGTCTTTTTTAAACGGTTTTTTATAATTGAGATATCTAATTATACTTGTATTGTGTTCTTTAACGGTATTTTTTTGTTGTTGAAATAATTGATTTATTATTATTTTATTGTTAAACGGTTCTTGGTGACAGGATATTAAAACTTTTTTAGAGTTTCCGTGTTCTTATATATTATGTACAATAGCATTTTACCAGAAAATATTCTTTCAAGAACAAGAACAACCACAACAACAAAAAGGTAGAATTTATTCATTCAGTTCAGTAGAATTAGTAGAATTCAATTAATCCGAAGTTCTTTAAATATAAAGTATTAAAATTTATTAAAATTTTATAATTCCATCTTATGATGTAGGTATTTGGACTCAACATTCCTTGGCGCAGTGGTTATATCGCAAGTATAGAAGCAAGAGAACCTGAGTTCAAAACGAGTTCTGGGCATATATTTCACGGCAAAATAAGAAAAGAGGCGTAAACTTTCTATTTAAATGCTTCTGCGCAGTGCTCTGCGACAAGACTGTTAGGTCTTCTACGCAGTGCTCTGAGACAAGATCGTTAGGTCTTCTTGGGACACCTTAAAATAAATTAAAAAAATATATATCTTAGAGTAGTAGAGTAGCATTGTATAATTAAAATATAATCTATTTGAATGAATATAAAACATATAAAAAAGATCTCTATGTATCTCTATCTATCTAAAACATATAAAAAAGATCTCTAAGTATTCTTTTGAAATTCGTCTTTGTAAATATTTCTATCTAGAGATTATCAGTTGTAAACTTGTACCATCATTATATTATACGGCACTTAATAACTGGTTAAATGCTATTCCGCGGTGCTTTGTGATACGACAAATATGATTTTTTGGAGCACCTAAATACCCAATAAAAAATAATTGTAATGCTAATGCCCCTTCGTGGGTTTTTTGACACCAAGTTTTTTATACGCAAACTGCTATAAAATATCGCGTAAGGAGAACTTAACAGAAAAACTTATGATGTTTTTTTAAAGAAAATTTTCGATCTTTTTTTAAATTTTCTTGACTTTTTGTTATATTGTTAATGTTACATTTAAAGTAATAATTGTTTTTTGTGTTGTTTCTAATTTAACTTGAACTTAAATTTTAAAATAATTGAAAAAAAAAACCCTTTTGCTTTTTTATATGCCGTGGACTTCTCATAATTTAAACTTAATTCAAGGGGATTGTTGTAAGTTGTCTGAACGAGCCATTAACTTCTTCTCGTTAATACCAAAAATATTTTCAACATTGAGAGAGTCAGTCAGTAGGCGGAGTGTTTTTAAAAACATGCATCTCTTTTAATTTGGAATAAGTATCTGCTTTCGTTCTCAGTGTTTCAAAATAGAAATTTTATTATAAGACATATTATGTGATTGAACTTGCGTTTAGTGATTTCCTATAATAAATCAAGCCAAATTACACGTGTAATTTCAGTAGTTTTCGGGCATTTGAAGTGACTTCTAAATGTTTTTGAAAATTACAAAAATTGTGGGTTTGAAAATGCGATAATTAGTGGTAATAAAACATATAGTTGTGTGATTATATCACTAAAGTTTAAAAAGGAACGCATTTCCAAAATAACAACAATGTATAACCATGAAAACAATGACGACATTGGAAACAATGCAAAACAGTTATTTAAAGTATTATTAAACTATTTTTTTAAAACTGCAGATTGTATTATTGTTGCTCTGAATGTTTTAAACAGTTTACTCGTTATAATAACGTGTTCGGTTTTTTTTACATAACGTTGTAAATTTAAAAAATTAAAACGTTATTAAATTAAAAAAATATAACAACGATCTTTATTTAATTCTTCAAGGTGACAAAAATGATAACACTGATGGTTAAAATTTATTGAGTGTGTTAAAATTTTTGTCACTAATTATTCAAGAGAATAATTATTAAAATAACTCCATTAGATTGCCTGAAACAAATTTGTAAAGATCTTGCTACAATAGTAAGTTTATTTTTTTAACAATTTGGTAAACATATTTCTTAACCTGAGATTAAAATTCATTAGTGCTAAACCACTTCCTTTATTGTATACTTTAGGTTTTTTTTATCATTAAAAAATTACTATTGGCTTTTGAAGATATATTAAGTAAGCAACTAGATATATTATTTTTTGCTTTATTACAAATAATATATCTACCTTTTTGCTCATAAGTTGAACTTTAATTTCCATAACGATTCTAAAAGTATACCATTTCTGCGTAAACAAAATATTAGCTTTGAGGCTAAAATGTGTTTAACTTAATGAATTTATCTGCAGCAGAATCTTGCTGGTTCAAGAATTCATTTGTTGTTTTTATTTTTATTAGGAATCAAAACTTGTTCAAAATCTTGAACAGTAAGAAGATCTATAGTAACTTTAGATATCAAAGAGAAAATGTCGCATTTGTTCTTCCTGTAGAGAATAGGACAACATGAACGACCCAATGTTTCCTTATTGTTCTTTGCAGTAATTTCAGTAATTGTAATACGCAGTAATTTTAGTAATCGTTCTACGCAACAATTTCAGTAAATTTAATATACAGTAATTTCAGTAATTCTAATACGCAGTAATTTCAGTAATTGGTCCACGTAGTAATTTCAGTAATTTTTATACGCAATAATTTCAGTAATTGTTTTACGCAGTAACTTTAGTAATTGTTCTACGCAGTAATTAATCTACACAGTAATTTCAGTAATTGTTCTTCACAGTAATTGTAACACACAGTAATTTCAGTAATTCTTCTACGCAGAAATTTCAGTAATTCTAATACGCAGTAATTTGTCTTTAAGAAAACATAGAAATAAGCTGCTCCAACTATATAAATATCTTTAATTTATTTTTAATCAAGTTGTATAGTTTATTTGCGAAGGTCACTTATATATACTCTCACACACTCGATGTCTTAAATACACGCGATTATTTGTACCTCCTCTATCTTACGCGGTTATTTCTATCTTCTCTATCTCACGCGATTATTTGTATCTCCTCTATTAATTATTTGTCAACATAATTGATTTTTTTTATGTATTAAAATTGCTATTTGTATTTGTTTATCTGGGAGTAAAACCATATATATAAAAACAATTTTTACAAACTATTCTATTAAGGTCAAATCAGTTATTTATTGCTATTTGCTACTCAAACACTCAAATCTGTTTATAAGCTATAATGGTACAGTGGTAAAAACGCTTATCTTTTATGCAATAGACTCAAAATTCAGGTCTACAGCTTTCTTGGTCTCACTCAAGCTGCTTTGTTTGTCTTACTTTGTTATGGTGTTATAGGACTGTGAAAGCTAGAGCAAAATTAACCATTTCATTATCTTTTTTATCTCCGAATTAACAACAAAACAAAAAAGCTTGTGCATGTTTTTTAAATTTAAAAAACTTGACCACGAAAAGAAACAAATTTTAGTAATAAAACCAAGATATAAATACTTTATCAGGTTTAAACCATATTCTATAAATATTTGAGACTATATATAAATGATGCATAAAACTTTAAAATATTTACACGGATATTTATAAGTATGAAAATAAATGGGAATAGATTTATAGGCAATTTATATGTTTTATTGTAAAATAGTTGTGTTTGTTTAAGGTACGTTTGAGCTTATTTATGAGTTTAAAAACAAGTCAAATTAACTTTTTATAATGGAGTTTAACTATATTCTTTTCAATTCTTTTTCTTTTCGAAAAACCTCTTCTTCTAACAACTTTAGCTTCTTCAAAATATTTTCTTTTTGAAGGTTTTGTTCCTCCCATTGTTTACGTGTACGATTAATAATCTCAGAAGATGCAGCACTGGCTTGAAGACTTTGTAAGTTTTCTAATAGTCGCGACGAAGATTTAACGATAGATATAATACTTGTATTAAAATGATCAATCTTTGTGTATAGTTCATCAATTTGAGAATGAATCATTTCATCGGGAGACATCAGTGGAGGACAAACACTAGTGGTCTTTCGTCTTCTAAATGCAAACCAATTAAAAATTCAAATAACTAAAGATTTTTAAAATTAAACCACTACTTTTATATATAAAAAAATCGCAACATACGTTCTACGACGGATCTTAGTTTCTTTGTTTCCAGTTTCCTTGTTCCCAGCAATTTCTTTTAATCTAATGTTTGTATGAGTTTCTGATATGTCTACAACGTTATCAGGATTAATTGATTGTAAATAGGCTCTTAATTTTTCGTTGTCAACAAATCTGTTTTGCTTGTTAACACGTTCTAAAATACCCTATAAATGAAAATAATTTACAATTACAAAAAAAAACAAAAAACAATTTTAAATTCACTGCTTTTTTTTCCTTTCTTTCGTTTTTAATTTTCTTTTGGCGCTGATTTTATAGAATTAACAAAACCTTAAAAAGCAAACAATTTACAAAAATTTTTACAACTTTTTTATTTTCTTAAAGAGAAAACGAACTAAAAAGCATTAAATAATTATATAATTATAGAAATTAAATTATGATAATTATAATAATTATAGAATCTAAGTAATAAAAAAGTAAATGTTTATAATTTTAAATAATTTTTTTTATAGTATTTTATTACTTTCTACATTTATGTACTCAATATAATTGTAATAAAATTACATACTAATTTTATTACAACTATTTTTTTAGTACGCAAAAAGCGTTTAAAAATTGTGAAAATTACAAACATGTAAAGAATGTAAAACGCGATAAAACTTACGTTAGCTGAAAAATCTTGAACAACATCGTCTTTAGCTTTTATGTTTATTAACTCTTTAACAGCGCTCTGTTTTTCAGAAGATTTTTTAAGTAAGCTAAATACATTTATAAAAGATTTTCTATCTAAAGAAAACGGAGTACTGCAAACGAGATTAGTGTGAAAAGAACACCAATAATTTCCAATTACTCGATTAGAAGGTAAATCGAACGAAGAAACTGATCGAGAACGAGAATAAAACATCTCTTGATAACAGATACGCATCGCCTATAAAGAATTAAATAACTTTAATTTTATTTGTAATAATGTATTAAAAATTTTTAACCAGAGTAACTTTTATGTTTTCATGAAAGTAATGCTTTGTATTTTGACTATCCTAATAATTTTGACTATCCGATAATTTTTTCAAACCAGTGAGAAATAAGTTAGGAATAACTGAACAACTTTTTATTATTGTTAAAAAAATGTTCCACTGTTCCTTAAAATCCAGTTTAAAATTCAAGAATCTGATTTTACCCGAGTAGCAAACAATATTGTGTACATACTTCACATGCTGTAAACAATATTGCGCCAATATTGTTTGCTACTCGGGTAGTTTCTTTTTTTTTAACGATTGCTAAACAAATAATTCCCTTTGGACGTTATTAATGATTTGTATTCTTTTATATGTATTCTTTATATACATTATAAATGTTTGTCAATGTTATTATTACTTTTCATTTATTAATTTTTTAGCATTACTTTTAAGTATTTTGTCATAAATAATTATATATATTATAATATATATATATATATATATATATATATATATATATATATATATATATATATATATATATATATATATATATATATATATACATATATATATATATATATATATATATATATATGTATACATATTAAATATATTATAATATGTATTATCATATATATTATAATACTTATTTATTTAAAGCAGAAGTGTAAAATTGTGTCAAACAATTTTTCTCTCAAGTTCTGAATTAGTTTTCGTTGAAAAATTTAAGTATCTAGGTACATAATTAGAAAAAAATGTGTTACAATTAAAAAAACTACTTTTTGAAAAAAAAATTAATTACTGTTCGTTAAAATTCGTTTAACAATTAGTAGTATTAGCTTGACTATTTGTTAAACGAAGAGTAAGCAAGTGGTACTATTCGATTAAAGAATATTTATTTAATACTATTTGCTTATTGAAAAGTACTATTCGTTAAACTTAGGAACTAAAGTTCGTTAAACTTAGGTACTAAAGTTCGTTAAACTTAGGTACTAAAGTTCGTTAAACTTAGGTACTAAAGTTCATTAAACTTAGGAACTAAAGTTCGTTAAACTTAGGTACTAAAGTTGGTTAAACTTAGGTACTAAAGCTATTCACTACTCGTTTAATAAAAACACTATTCTCTGGTGCTTAGTCATGACCTGTTCATTGCTACATTTCATAACATATATATAAATTATTTTTTAAAGGTGTTTATTTGAGATTAGTATTTCAATACAATTTGAAAGTAGCCGTGAAAATATTTTTTCAGAATATATATTGATTAAACAAATGTTTCAGCATGAATCGAAAAGTTTATCAAAACGCATGTTTTTATGTGCTAACTTTTTTTTAAAGTTAATTAAAAATTTTTTTAATTAGTTAAAAAAAAAACAACTTAAAATAACAAATACCTAAGCAAATAAAACGACTTAAAAAGTTATTAAATATAAATAAATTAAAAAATAATAACAATGCGCATATTTATGAGCAAATTATTCTTTTTAAATAAATAATATTCAAAGCCGCACATAAGATCAAAATTGCTTGTACTAGGTTTTGGTAATAAACTCTTCATCAGTGTGTGTTTGTGCATATATATATATATATATATATATATATATATATATATATATATATATATATATATATATATATATATATATATATATATATATATATATATATATATATATATATATATATATATATATATATATATTATATATATATATATATATATATACACACACATACATGTATAGCTGTGTAAAAAATATTTATTTTAACATACTTTGTAAAATTCTCTTAGGAAATAAACATTTTCGTCGTCAACAAGATCATCAACTTTAATGTGTGCCAAACAATGCATGATGAGCACTATAAAATCTCCAACACTTTCCATTCTCTCCTGACGTATAAACAATATTTTTCGTGCACGTTCATAGAAAAAAGAATTACGAAATGCGTTTTTAATGTAATTGTTTGTTGGAAGACTTGAGGCAATGAGAAGCATTACAGGAGGAATCTGCATTGCTTCTTGTAATAGCTGACAAACGAAAACGCCAAACCGGTACACAACTAATTGATGAGGTGAAAGTTCACTAATATCAAGACTGACGAGTTCTCCTTGGCAGGACCAACGAAAATCCTAAACAAGTATAAAAACATTGAATGTTTGTGTTAATAATATAAAGCAAATTTAAAACACACACAACTTATAAGCTGATTATTTTTTATTTACTTTTAACTACAGCTTTTAACATTTTTACATTTTAATTAAACATTCTACATTAACTTTAATTTTAATTAAACATTCTACATTAACGGGGCACCATGAAACATTGAAATTATGGATTAATTTTCAAGAGATTTATGTAAATATAATACAAGGAGATTTAATTTCGATACCATTATTTGTTTACAAGTAAAAACGATATTTAAAATGATATATCTGCATTTCTGAAATGAGATTTGGACTGTTGGACGCATTTTTTAAGTTGTTATGAAATTATTAATTTGTTTGTTATCAAGGAAAATTCTGCCTTTTCTCTAAATTTTGTACTTTTTATTTACTTTTTTAATGGTCCTTATAGATTGTACTAAGATACCCCACGGGTAAGTAGCCTGATACATATTTCTAATGTTATTTTACATAATATCACAAGTTTGACTTGTTATATTTTGGTAATTAATGAATTTAAATGTGTAAGGTTTTATTTAAAAACGGCACCAATCGTCTGAAAAAAAAAAAAACTTTTTTAAAAAAAGTTACCACTCTCATTCTCCACATTCTTGCCACTCTTCCCTATTTTTTTTTTCCCTCTTTCACTCTTCCCTATTTAAGTTTTTATTGAAAGTATTTTATTTTACCTTTATATCAATATATGGCATTATTTCTGTGAGAGATAATGTAGGGGTTTTCATAAGAATGTTTTCAATTTCATTAACATCTTTAAATAATGGAGAATTAAAGAGAATATTTAACCACTGATGTTTGTCTGGTGATGGAGAAGACTTATTCTTAAACTCAGCAATTTCTGATGGAGATGAAGATGGAAAAGACCTATTCTTAAACTCAGCTATTTCTGGAGAACTTTGAGAAAATTCCTCTAAAAAATAAATAAAAGATAAAAAAGCACCATGTTGGCAAAAACAAAAAAGTCTCCAAAAGTAATCAAAATAATTTTTTAACTTACCTTTTATGAATGTGGGCACAACTAATGATTTTACTGCAGAAGTCAGCATTTCTGCGCCACCTTTTTGTAAAAATAGAAGCTTTTCTTTTTCATTTTGCATAGCTTCATATGACTCGTCTTCAAAATCTTCTTGAATCTTAGTCATTCCTGTACTCAATTTCTTTTTTCTTCTCTCTTCAAGTTTTTTTCTAAGCATTTTTTTTGTGCGATCTTGTTCTTCTTTCATTTTCATTTCAAACTTGCTAATGTTTTCTTCGTGCTCTTTTAAAAGACGTTTTTTCTCTTCATCATCAACTTCCATTTGTAGGATTTCCAACTAAATTATTTCAGCACATTTATTTTTAAATTTTAAGCAATACAAATATATTAGTATAGCTACAAAATTCATAACTTAAAAAAATATCATTTAAATACCTCCCAAAAAAAAATTAGAAAGATAATAATAATATACTATTACTAATAATTATATTAATAATTATAACAATTATTTAAAAAAATAAAAATAGTAATAATAATAACAATAATAATAACAACAATAATATCATTAATAACAATAACAATACTCGTTCAGCTTCTGCTTTTTCATCAATCTTTCTCTTTCGTAAAATCTCCATTTCATAATCTTTTTGAGCTTCACGAACTGTTTCAACTTCTTTTTCTTTTTCTATTTGCATCTCTAATTTCCGAACTTCTTCTTCCATTGCTTTTTTCTGTTTATTTGTCTTTTCTAGCCGATCCCTTTTAATATCTTCTATTTTTTTTGACATATCAAAAATAGTTTTTTGTTTAAACTCCTCAAGTGCAAGTGCAGCTTTTTCTGCTTGCTCAGCAAACTTATTATTAATGTCATCTACAGTAGATAATTGTTTTAATGAACCAGATAACTCATTAAGTTGTCGCTCGCGAAGCTCTAACCTTGCATGAGCATGCTTAACTTGCAGTGATGGAATAACATCTAAATTTGCTTTAGCATTTTCTTTTCTTTTATCTAATTCTGCAAGTTGCTTTTTGTGTTTTAACTTAAGAGCCATTTTTTTTTGTGCTAAATCATTACTATCAAGTGCTCCTGCTTTCGTTATCATTTCCATAAATTCCTTAAACAATAAAGATTTTAAACAAACTAGTTAATTCTAAAATAATGCAATAATAATAAAAAAAAGAAACTTAAATGATTAAATTTTTTTTTTTACCTTGTCTTGCTTAGCCAAAAGCATATTTCTTTCATTTTGAATATCTTCAGCAAGCTGCGCATTACCAAGAATTTTACAAGCTTCTATTTCATCTTCAAATTCCAATTCCTGTTCTATTCTTTCACGCATATGACGCTGCTTTATAGCTGCTATTATTGAATCCTCCCCTTGTTCTGAATTACCTGTTTTTATTGCAAGATTCTCGCTTTCACGAAGCTAAAAATATAAATGCTTTTATAGTAAAAGTTTTTGTTTTTAGGTGACTTTAAATATTTTCTGTCAATTAATTCTCTTTTTTAAATATTATTCTTTTAATTCAACTTCCTAGATGTTAAACACTATAATGTAAATTACTAAATGTCTCATTTATTCATAAATGTCTCATTTATTCATAAATGTCTCATTTATTCATAAATGTTTCATTTATTTATAAATGTCTCATTTATTCATAAATGTCTCATTTATTCATAAATGTCTCATTTATTCATAAATGTCTCATTTATTCATAAATGTCTCATTTATTCATAAATGTCTCATTTATTCATGAATGTCTCATTTATTCATAAATGTCTCATTTATTCATAAATGTCTCATTTATTCATAAATATCTCTTTATTCTTAAATGTCTCATTTATTCATAAATGTCTCATTTATTCATAAATGTCTCATTTATTCATAAATGGCCTTAAAGTAGCATCAAAATTTAAAACTGTATTGTATTTATTACATTAATAACAAAAAAATATATATATAAATAAATTATAAATTATAAAAATTACAAAAAAAAAAAAATGAATAAATAAATAAATTACAAAAGCAAATTCTTAAAGGACTTCCCCTGAATCTAAATAACCTAATAAAATAGGACCAAGACTTGTGTATCATTGTGTACAAAAACAATTTTATTTTAAAAGTAAAAAGACACATAAAAAACTTTTATGATATTTTAAAATTATTTATATGAGAAACTGCCACCCCATTATATTTAGATTAAAATTTGACTCCTAAAATATTTTTTAAACTTTCCATAATTGTATATAAAAAAGAACTAGAACATTTATGAAAGTATTTTTTAAAACAACTTAGATATTTTATTTTCCACTTGAATAACAAGATACCCTGTGTTAAAAATGACTTAAACTAATTTCCATAAAAAGTCTTAATTTAGGACTAATTTAGCTAGGTTGCAAGATTATTTTTTGTTTCAATTTTAAACATTTTTTATAAAATTTAAAACCATTTTAAGTTTAAATCGCATTTAAGTTTTTATACTTTAGTTTATTTTAAATTTTTTTTATTGTTGTTTTAATAATAAGAGTATCGTTTTTCATTATAAAAATGTTTTCTATAACCAATATTGCTTTAACAAATCATAAAATTCATTATAAAAAGACTTTAATACTATCAATGATCATTTCTTTTACAGGGATTATTTATATCTGTTTAAAATTACATAAATTTTTCAATTTATCAAATTTTCAGATTGTTTTATATCTCTTGTGGATTTGTATAATGGAAAATTAGATTACACATTTTATCAAATCTACATGTTTTTTAAGAAATAATATTTTCAGCCTTTCTTTGCTGCTGCAACTTTTAAACTAAAACATTTTTTCGTCACTTTTCTTTGTATACTGTCTAAAGTTTTAGTCTCATCATTGTAAGGTTGCATTTCTTTCTCTACAACACTATTATGGTCGCTACTCAAAGGAGCTATCATTTTTTTGTTCCATCAACTAAAACTCATTCTCATATGATTCATCATTCAGCAAAGTCACATCCTTCTACTGTATCTGTTCCAGCGTGTTTTAAAAATTTTTATTTGTCTAGTTTTTTTGCCCGCACTTCAACCCTGGAAATCTCCTAACTTCATGTTTTCCTGATTCATACAACTTACGACTTTTCAAGTGTTCTATTAATTGTGGCTATTTAGTTAAAATATTCAGCTACCATTAATCCAACTTTAATTAAACATTAGCATATGATTGATGTTAAATGATGATGACATATAATAGATATTAAAGATTGAAGTATATTTGTTCACATGATGTTACAGATTGAAGTAAATAAAGTTGATAACTCAAAAAATGATAGATTGCACAAAAGGACAAATTCAAAACAAATATTTGATCCATATATAGAGTTTTCTAATATAAACTTTCTCAAAAAAAAAAAAAAAATTAAATCAGAATGAATCTATGGGTTACAACTCCATTAATCAGGTGTTATTAATATACTTGGTTTTTAAAACTAACATTTTATAAATACAAACTCTTTTAATTAAGTTACATCACAAAGTTCTATTTTGTGCATTAAACAGTGTGTTAAACAATTGTGCTAAACTATAATAACTAAACAGAGCTATTTTATCTTAAGTATGCAATAAGCACAGGAATTTAAGCAACAATAAACTATGCAATAGTAAGCACAGGAATGTTTGCAGTAATAAATTATGCTTTAGTATTCAGAGTAATTTATGCAACCATAAATTATTCAATAAAATAAATTATCGTAAATTATTCAATAATATAAATTATTATAAATTATTCAATAATATGATCACCACATAAAGCTTAAGACTCAAGGTTTCTTTTTTAAAATGTAATAATTTCTGTAAACTTGAATAAAAGCATCAAAATAAAGTACCACTATAACCACCACACATATCACCACCACTTGGGTGTAGTATGTGTGGTGAATAAAATACACTTAACAACAACAAACAATTTGTTTGTAATTTGAACATTTTCATAAATGAAACCATTAAAAATCAACCTGATCATCAAATAACTTTTGACGCTCCTTTCTTTCATTTACAGCATGCTGTTTTAGATCTGCTTCATGACGTTGACCCAGTAGTTTTAGACCCTTTTCTTTTTTCTCAGCAATTTTATCAGCTAACGTTGCCAACTGTCTATTTCTCTCTGAGTCCATTTTTCTTTCTAGGAACTCACAATCTTGGTTGTGTTGATCAAAAAGAATATTAAGTTGTTCTTCTGACAACATTTTCTTCTTGGACTCTAATTCAGCATTAAATGTTTTTTTTTTCTCTTCAAGAGCCTAAAACAAAAATTATGCAACGATACCCTTAAAAACTTATGATAGTATTATTGCAATTATAAAAAAATTATAACAATTAAAAAATAAATATAAAAAGTATTATAACAATTAAAAAAAAAAATAAAAATGTAAATAAAGGTGTAGAGAATTAGAAAAACTTTTTCTTGTTTAAATGTTCAAGAATTAGAACATGTTTAAATTTAGTGTCTCCAAAGTTTTTATAATTGACCTACTACCCTCCCCCCCCCCATCTCATATTTTTACATTTGCAGACCCCTCTTCCTCACAACATCAACCATAATAATAATGTTCAAGATTAAGAACATTGCAGACCGCACAATTCAACAAATAAATATTTGCTTAAAAAGTAATTGCAGGCAATTTATTATGATGATTTGGTAATAACTATCTAATGATGTGAACAAAACAAATTGTTAGAAACAAAACAATTTAAAGAAATATATATAATTATGATAATTATAATTATGAAACATAATTATGAACAAGCAAAACAGTACTAGTAATTTAGTGATTTTGCATTTTTACTTACGTTACTCAGAAATATACCTTATTTTTTTGTTCTTTCATTTGGTTGAAAATAAAATCCTTTCCTAACTTTTCCTCATTTACAATTTCTTCTTCTAACATCTTTTTTTCCTTATAATGTTGCATCAAAAGTGCAGCTTGTTTTGCTTCTTGTTCTGCTTGTAAAACCTCTTGTGCCAAAACATGATCAGCTAATGCATTGTTAACATTCTGACTATTTACTGGTTCACTATTCTGAAACAAAATTTAAGTATATTCAGTACACATATTGATCTGTCAAAATGTTTTATAAAGGTTCAATATATTTTATACACTGTCAAATGTATTATTATCTGTTTGTACAGATAAAAATACATTTAATACAAAATTGAATTGCGCAATATTGATAATTTTCATTTTAATACAAAATTGAATTGCGCAATATTGAAAACATATACAAACCAGTTACAAAACATAATGTGTAAATATGCATTACCGCTTTAGTGCATTGAAAAAATAAGCCAATAGTAAAGTACTAAACAAACCGATATTTCAAGAAGTATTTTTCTTGTAGCATTTTCTTTATCATTATCACATCGAATTTTTCTTCTTGCTTCTAACTTTGCTTTAAGAGCAGCTGCATTGTTTTCTTTCAATTCATCATACTTTTTATTTATTTTCTGCTGCTCTTCTAAAAAGCGATTTACCAATTCTTTTTTCTCCTCCTAAACAGAAAAAAAAAAAAAAAAAAAAAAAAAAAATCAAAAAAATTCTAAGCCTTAAGCACAAAAAATTTCAAAAACAAGTAATTGAAAAATATGACACCTCTGAAAGATGGTTTTCATTTAACAACCAGGTAAACACTTTCCTTTGTTTTCCTAACTCATCATGTATTGCAAGCTCAGCTAAAACAGAGGTTACTGCAGCAATCTCAAAATCTGATTTGACACCATTGTCTCCAGATTTATTTGTCACCAGACTCCTTTCTAGCTTAAGTTTATTTTTTATTGAATTACGAAAAGCAACTCCTTTTTCATGATCCTGTGAAAAATATAAAAGATAATATAAAATCAAATAAAAAACAAAACAGTTGTAACTTAATTCATTTCATATGATTTACTTTATTTATAACCATAAATTAAATTGTAAACTAAAGAAAAAAGCATAAAAAATTATTATAAATTAATAGATACCAATTTTAATCGATTTAGTTCTTTTTCTGTTACTGGTGTTATTTTTAAATCCATATTTGTTAGTCTATTTTTCATTTCTTGATATTGTTTTTCAGCAAGTTCTTCTTGTTCTAAGCTTTCTTGTTCTTCATAAGTTTTTTTAAGATCAATGAAGAGACTTTCTTGATTTTTTAGTATTTGTTTAATTTCATCTTTAACTTGTTGTTCATTTACAGTTTTTTGAGGGAGCTCAATACCA